CAATTTAAAATCATTGGCATTTACAGATAAGCAGGAGCGACACAGAGCACTGAAGTAGTTCACAGTGTATCTGAAAGAGTGCGCTAAATTGTACCATTGCTCAATAGCTAAGATTTGGCAATAGCCTAAATGCCCATCAGCAGATGAGTGGATTAGAAAACTATGGTACATCTACACAATGGAATGTTACACTGCTATAAAAAAGAAGGAATTCTTACCATTTGCAACAGCGTGGATGGACCTGGTCAATAAAAGAATTGGTTAGTTTGAATAAGCTCTGCAGGCTCTGGGGTGAAATTAGCCAGTGAAAGAAAAATACCACATGATCTCACTCATTTATGGAATATAAAGAACATTATAAACTTATGAACAAAAATAGATACAGAAGCAGAGAAACATCGAACAGACTGTCAAACTGCAGCGGGAAGGCTGGGGTGGGTTGGGGGGGAGGTAAGAGATCAACCGAAGGACTGTATGCATGCATATAAGCATAACCAATGGACACAAGACACTGGGGGGCGGGGAGTGAGAGCATGTGCCGGGAGGTGGGGGAGGCCGGGGGAAGGCCAATGGGGAAAAAAAGGAGACATATGTGCTACTATTTGTAATACTTTAAACAATTAAATTAAATTAAAATAAATTGTACCATTGCTCAAAAATATTGAATTACCTCTCGTGGGAGAAGGGTACTTCCCTGCTACACTTATTTGAGGCTTGACCAATACACTTCATGTATCCATTGTTGCAAAACTCGCTACCCCAAAAGTTATTGGCTTAAAACATCACTTTATTATTTCTCATGATTCTATGGTTTTGCTGGGGCTCAGTGGGAGGTTATTCTGCTGGTTTAACTTGGGGGTCTTCTAGCCACATCAACTGGGACCTAGCTAAGGCTGGAATGTCCTCAGGAATTCCCTTCCCATGGATTCTATTCATTTTGTAGTCCATCTGGGATTCCTTTCAGCATGCCAGCTGCCTCCTAAGACAGAGGAGGTGGAAGCTGCCAGCCTTCTTAAGACCTGGGCTTGAAAGGCCTGACACATTCTGTTGATTAAGGCAAGTTCACAAGGCCAGTGCAGATGAAAGAGGATTGGAAGTTGCTGGGGTTCATGTCCCAGCATCAAGAAGGGTTCAGGAATCTGGAAAAGGGGCTGCGCGTAGATGACATAGGAATCCAGAGACTAATAAAGAATCCAGAGACGAGATATAATTTTGAAAGGCATTGGGGGTCAGAAGACCTTCAGCTAAAGGAACTGAAGAGTGTGTTCCTCCTTGTCTAGGACCCTTGCTTTTATTAACACAATTTGTCCTAAGGCAAGGTGGAGATAATACACTTCAAAGGGTAAGGCTTCAAAGGGTACAGAAGCATTGTCAGTTTGGGGAATTAGCCTATGGCTGTTCAGGTATTTGGCCAGTAGGAGGCAATAACATGTAGATTAAGATGCCCTTTAACTGTCTGGCAGCCACAATAAGTTTCCTGGTCAGGTTTGGGGAAATGCCTTTAGCCATTCCCAACAGATGACTACATGTGTGACTCAACCCTGTTGAGTCCCCAAGTCTCATCAACCTTTTGATGAAACTCTTGAAATTATGACATGCTGGAATTGGTCTACGGCAGGAAGTAAGCCCTGATTTTTGATGGGTGGAGCAGCACATACTGGTACATACAGGAAAGGGAGGAATTGACAGCAGAAACCATACCATGTGACTAACTTTAGCCAGAGGGATATGAATGGACATGACATCTAAGCAGAAGCCGTAAGAGTGTTTGCAGAGTATGTCTTAGTCTTTTTTGTCTTCCAATAAAACAGGCATTTCTCAGGTCAAGATTGCTCCTTTAGTCAAGAAGACACATAAACTAGATCCTACCATAACCCAGAGTTGGGAGCATAGTCAAAGCGGTTTATCTATAGCCACCCACGTTAAATGAAGGGGGAATACGGATTCATTGTTGTAATTCACATTTGTTCGTTAGGCAGCATAACCTAGTGACAGCCAGCTAATACAGAGGTAGAGCTAAGATTTGAACCCAGGCAGTGTAGTTTGAGAATCCAAGCTCGTAGCCACTCTGCTATACATTTCACCCAGAAGCAGTATTTCAACTTTGGATTGAGAAGGCCTTGAAGGTTCTGAGACAAACTGGGAGTATCGGGGAAGTGCTAAGAGAGACATTCTGTAAATGTGAAGAGGTAGAGGCTATAGCAAGAAGTTTATTATAAGGAGCTATTATCAAATTTATATCAGAAGCTGGGCAAGTGGGCCATTCTTATTCAACTAACTTATCTAACACATCTCTCATCTCTACTATACCTTAACCCCCACCCTAATTAAAAGGGGCTTTTGCTTTCTACTCTCATTATTTATTATTTTTAAAAGAATATTAAAACTAGATTACTCTGTAAGGGAAAAGCATACCTTTTCCCAAATCAATATGGTAAAATTATTTTTACTGATATTGAAGATTGAGAGAGAACTGCTAAAATGTAATTGTAAATATTGACAGTTTCTTGTACACCAATCCAATGGTCAACTCTCAGTTCTCATGCTACCCTACCTGTCAGCATTATGAGACAGAGTTGAGTACCCATCATCCATTAATCACACATCCTTCATGTGGCTTCTGAGACTCTGAATTTTTTTTTAAAAAAATGTTTTATTGATTTCAGAGAGGAAGGGAGAGGGAGAGATAGAAACATCAATGATGAGAGAGAATCATTGATCTGCTGCCTCCTGCACACCCCAACTGGGGATTGAGCCCACAACCTGGGCATGTGGCCTGACCTGGAATCGAACCATGACCTCCTGGTTCATAGGTCAATACCCAACCACTGAGCTACGCCTGCCAGGCCAAAGAGTCTGAATTCTTGAGCTTCCTCCTAGCTCCTGGCTGTTCCTTCTCACTCTCCTCTTCTCTCTGCTCTCTCAGCAGTGAAGTGCCCCATCATTTTCTGTCCTCTATCTACATTCACTCCCTTGATGAGCTCATGTGGGTTTTAAATACTTTAAATACTATCCATATATCAATGACTCCAAAATTTATCTGTAGTTTAGGACTCTCTTCAACTCCTGTTTACTCTGGGCACATACATCTAACTGCTTATTTGACATCTCCATTTGGATGGCAAATAACATCTTAAAGTCACCCTTCCAAACAGGACTCCTGATTTCCTCCCATTCTATTGCTCCTGGCTTTTTTCATCTTAGTTGATGGCAACTTGATCCATTGGAAAGTTACTTAGGCCCCAAACCTTGGAGTCATCCCTATTCCTCTCTTTTATACTCTACATTCAGTCCATCAGGAAATTCTGCTGATTCTACCTTCCAAATATATACATACTCCTCTCACTTCCCATCACCTCCCCATGACCACCTTGGTTGAGCCCCCATCATTTCTCACCTGGCTTATTGCAGTGGCCTCCCTATGGGTGTTCTTGCTTCTACCTTCGCTCCCTTTTAGTCTGTTGTCAACATAGTAAACACACTGATGCTTTGAAATGTAAGATCAGGGTAATTCTCTGCTTCAGTGGTTTTCATTTCATATTAAAAGCCAAAGTCCTTACTTTGACTCACAAGACTCTTTATATCAGTGGTTCTCAACCGTGGCTGCACATTAGAATCACCTGGGAATCTTTTAAAATCCTGATTTCTGGGCCTCATCCTCCGGAAATTCTGTTTCTTTGTTATGGGGTGGGGTGGGGCCACAACATTAGTAACAAAGAAACAGACTTTCCGGAGGATGCGGCCCAGAAATCAGGATTTTAAAAAGATTCCCAGGTGATTCTAATGTGCAACCACGGTTGAGAACCACTGCCTTTATATGACCTGGCTCCCACCAGGCACAGATCCAGACATATAGTAGGTTTATATTTCCTGACTGGATAAATGAAAGGAGCTCGCTATAGGGAAATTCTTTAAATGCAAGTCCTATATAGGTTAAGAAATATATTTTCAGAATAGAGGATTATTTTTTTAGTTGGAAGTCCAGCAAAGTGTATTCATATTTTTTCACAAAAGCTGATAGGAGCATAAGATGGAGAGGAGTTTGGCCTACTTCACCAAATTCTTTATGTTCTTCTGTTCCCAGGACTGGGTTGAATGAATTCAGCAGCCCTCAGCTACACTTTAATGGCACATGGCCACATCTGGCTTCTCTGAACTCACACAGCTGTTCTGTCAACTCCCTGCGGGTTTATGTCCCCTCCTCTTCTAGGAAATTGCACTGCCTATTGGCAATTAGCCCTAATGAAGCAGCAGGAGTTTCCTGAGGGTAATGCATTGCTGACAAGTATAATTACTGTTAGCAGCTGTGGGGCCTCTGGCTCCATGAAAGTAACCCATCCACCTGTCAGAGTGTGCAGCAGGACTGCTAAAGCTGCACCTAGCAGCCAGGCCAGCACTCTAAGCCAGGCCACTGAGTGATGAAAACAAGAGACTGGCATTTGGAAGCCAATTGAAAGCATTTACTTTAAATGTTCAAATTTCTGCAACCCAGCTGCATGGGTTGTGGAGCCATAGCAAATCACCAATTTGCATCTTTCAGTTCAGCTTGATCATTGTCTCTTTCAAGCATCTATAATGCCTGCCTATACTTAGAAAGGAGTGGGTGTCTCACAGGGATGCAAGAATTTCTAATTGTATTTTTTGTCAAAAAAAAAAAAAAAGAAATAAAGGAAACAAGCTTTGCTTGTTATTATATAATAAGTAACCAACACTGGTTTCTTTCCTGGGTCAGTATGAGACCTCCACATCCCACCTTTGGGGAAAGATTTGGAGTTCTACAGGGTTTGTAATGGCCCCCTTTGGGTGATATATTTCTATGGAAGACTAAATATGACTGCAAAATATTCTCTATTCCTGAGAGGTGGAATCTAATTGTCCTGCTACTTGAATGTAGGCTGGCCTTAGTGACTTATTTCACCAATATCGTGGTGGAAGTGACACTATGCCAATTATGGATCTAGCCAAAAAAATGACTAACAGCTTCTGCATTATATTTTTAGAACCTTTGGATAACCAAGCTGTGAGGAAGCCCAAGCTAGCCAAATGGAGAGACTGTATGGAGAGAGAAATACCTGGCTGGCCCTACTGTTCCAACTCCCAGACAATCAAGTTATCCCAGGTGAGGACCCAAATCTCATGAAGCAAAGATGAGCTTTTCCCACTGTGCCTTGTCAAAATTCCTGATTCACAAAATTTTAATATTTAATAATACTACTAAATTATTTTAAGCTCCTACGGTTTGGGTAGTTATACAGCAGTAGGTAATAGAAACAATTATAGTTTTTGTAAGCCTAGTTGAAAATATTTACAGATTATATTAAGAAGTTTAAATGAACTCTTGAGACACTGATAAGGGCTTCAAGAGATTCTTACAAAGAATCCTCAAATGGATAAAAATACTAATTATGCAACACAAGCCTAATACAAGTAAATGGAGGAGCTGACACTCCTACACTTAGAACTAGGTCTTCACCAGCTATAGTATGAAGTAAATATAGTGACAATCTTATGAAATATAACAAGAAGTTATACAAAACATTGAAATTATTAAAGAAGACTGCTTGAAAAATTAATAGAAACCCACTATCATTAACAATATGCATCACACTAAGTGTATATTTGTCTTGAAAAATTAGCTAACATGAAACTCTCATGATTAGCAAGACATTAAAAGCTAAGTGTTCAAACATGCAGGGAAACTTTCATAATTCAACTAGAGGCACGGTGCACAAAATTCATGCACGGGTAGGGTCCCTTGGCCTGGCCAGTGATCAGGGCCAATCAGAGCCTTCCAGCTGCTGGCCAGGACCTTCCCTTCAGCTGCTTGCCAGGGCCTTCCTTCATTCTGCACCACCCCCTGGTGGTCAGCAGATGTCATAGCGAGCAATTGAACTCCTGGTTTCCCGGTTGAACTGCCGAGGGGACACTTTGCATATTAGCCTTTTATATATATAGATAGCTGAAGGGTGTTTTTTTGGAACCATATTAAAAGAATATTTCTTTTCTTTTACCTCATCCTATAAAAATGTTTGTTGTTATGTATTGTATAACTACTATATAGTAGTACAGGAGTTACATATAAGATTTATATATGGTTATGCCCATTAATTTGAAAAATTATTATGAAATGTTATACACATAAATTATACACACAAGGGTATAAAATGTACACACAAAAATTAAAGAATAATAAAATGCACACTCAGAGACCTACTACCCAACTTCAGAAATAGAACATTACCACTACTTTAGAAGCTCCCTGGAGATCCTGTCCCTGAACCCTCAGGTGACCAGTATCCTGGATTTTGTATTGATAATTAACTCATTCGCTTCATAGGGTTTTTTTCCCCCCTTAATCACACATGATGCATGTCTGAATAATATGTTGCTGACTGGATGCTGAAACGGAAGCTTTCTTTCTTTCTTTCTTTCTTTCTTTTTTTTACTACACAGGACACTATTGGGACAATTGACTTGTTTGGAATAGACACTGCTGATTGAATCAAAGTATTGCATTAATGTTAAATTTCCTAAATTTGAGAATTGTGTTATGGCCATGTAAGAGAATATCCTTGTTCTTAGGATATACACACTGAAATATTAAGGGCTTAAGAAGCATAAACATGTAGTCCACTGTCAAATGGTCCAGAAGAAAAATGAGACAAGAGAGAATAAAGTACATATGGCAAAATGTCAACAATTGTTCAATCCTGGTTTAAAAATGGAATTTCTTAGTACTCTTCTTGCTGATAACTCTGGTTGAAACTTTTTCCAAATGAAAAGGTAAAATAATAATACCAATAGTAACAATAAAGCTGCCCAAGATTAAAGCCTGTCCAAGGACATTTCCATTTAGCTTCACACCCTGTCTGGCTCCTACTAAACCCCTCTTGCCACTCCAATGCTGCTTTTCTCCTGAGGTTCCTCCCTGGTGCTCCAAGCTGCATTGTTGGAGGTGTTCCACCATGCCCCATAGGAGGGTGACAACTGTCCTGCTTTGCCTAGGACTAACCTAGTTTCAGCACGAAAGTCTCCTGTGCCAGGACACCCGCAGTCCTGCGCAAGAATGATTGGTCACTGTCCTGTAAGCCCTGGCAGCTGTTTTTCTTTTCTTTTTTGTAATGCAAGTGCCTGACTTAAGCTTTGATTGTCAAGGCATCCATTTCAAAGAGGCACCCACTCCAAGAGAGCTATCTCAAATAAACACATGGCCAGCCTCGCAACTAGAAGAGCCAGGAAGCCAGAGAGCACTGGCCAGGCCCCCATATCCACCACGAGGCTCCTTTGGTGGGAGAAGAAGGAGGGAAAGGGAAAGGAAGAGAAGGAGAGAGAGAGAGAGAGAGAGAGAGAGAGAACTTTAAATGTCTGCTCTTATGTTTTAAACTCACCAATAAAGAGTGAGCCCTTGAAACACTAGGTCCCTGCCCCCCCAATTAAAACAGATGGCCCCCTCTTCCCCACAACCTTTCTGTGTAGCCCCAGGTGTGTGTGCTGTGTAATTTCCAGGTCCTGTGAGTAATAAACCTTGATTTGTTTCAAAGTTTCCTGATGATTATTGCTGAAGGGTATCTGGTAATCATAGCAAGAACTGGTCCAACCACAAGGGCTGGTCCAACCACAACATTGGTTACATAGGCCGAGACATGCATGAAACAGCCACCTTACCCCATGGTTAAGCTTTTACCATGTGTGCTGCAGAATGAGACAAGGACCCAGGAGAAGAAGGTTTAAAGGCCTCACTGCACTCAGGGAGGCTAAAACCCCAGTTACCTCTTTCGCCAGTCTAGCAAGCTCCATCAAAGATGCCAGTGAACTTGCCCCAGGTCTCACAGGTAGCAAGTGGTATAGTTTATTTGGAACCCAAGCTTTGGTCCAGTGCTCCATTTATTCATTCATTAATCCATTACTCTAGTCATCTAAAACTGTATTTGACAAGAAAAACATTATAACTATGTGTGGTGACAGATGTTAACTAGACTTATTGTCGTGATCATTTCACAATATATACAAATATTGAATCATTATGTCATACACCTGAAACTAATATATGTCAATTATACCTCAATAATTAAAAAAAACTATATTTAGTGATCACTTACTATGTATCAGGTATTGTTTTAGGTCTCTGGGATACAGCTGTGAACAAAACAAACAAGATCCTCACTGTCATGGACCTTAGACTGGTAGGAAAGACAGATAACGCACAAACCAATAAGTAAATAAGAAAGAGTGAGAAAGGATTTTCAGGAAGCTAAAACAGAGTGATATTTAAAACAGTGTATGCCTGCATGACTATTTTAAACTGGGAAAAGGAAAACAAACCTTGAATGAGAAAAAGGAGACAGCAATCCAGGCATGTGCCCCTGACCAGAATCGAACCTGGGACCCTTCAGGCCGATGCTCTATCCACTGAGCCAAACCAGCTAGGGCAATACTTTTCTTTCTTTACAAATAAAAAGTAAATGGAATCAGTTATCTAAGTTTATATACTAAATTCATAAAAACCACATGAAATTCCCAAGAAATTACCACAAGAAATACCACAAGAAAAACCTAGTGATCTTTATTAAATAATACATATGGTGAACTTTAAAATAGGATATACTAGCAATAACATAGTTCTTTTTAAAAAACTGTATTTGAATGTTACAGATGTCCTTATCTGTCCCCCTTGCCCACCTCCACCCAGTCCTTCCCTCCCCTTCCCTCTGGCTAACACCACACTGTTGTCTGTACCTATGGGTTATGCATATATGTTCTTTGGCTAACCTAATCCTTTCACCTTCTGTTCCAAGTCTATGACTAGATCTTTTCATTCTTACAATTGGCCTCATTACCCATGTCTTCCATATTAGAAATTTAATTTGTAAAACTGGTAACATGAAAGGAATGTTCAAGTTCAGGACAATCTTATTAGAAACGGGAGGCAGGGCTGGTTGACAAAATTGTTCCTGTAAACATTTAAAACGTCTCTCTCTGTATACAACACCTAACTTGATTTCAAATGTTTTCATTGTCTTCTTTTCACGAGCTCACTTTTAAGATAATGCTGCAATTTGTTATACTTTGCTATAAAGTCCCCGCGTCTTTTCATGTCCATTTTTCCCTTCTTCTGTGGCCTCAGGATAACTGTCTTTTTCTCCCAAGAAGAAATGTGAAGCATGTGGCAAGCCTGCTGGTCTATTTGCTGATTTATGGGTCAAGTCTTCAGTTATTACAGACCAAATTTGAAAATCTCTGATTAAGGAGCCCTGCTGATTTCAGGATCTCACTAGAAATATGTCCATAATGAATTATCTACAGATAATGCAAATTGTCCCTGGGTGATTCATATCATCCTCTTTTATTAAATTGTCCATTTTCTGGGGGATAGTCAGATCTGAATAAAGTAAGATGTAGGGATGCAATGATCTTGTAAGAGGTTGAACAGGAAACACTTTCACTGCAGAAGAGCATCTACACCAAATGGAAAGCTAATTTTCACAGAGTAGTGAGTATATGTGTGTGACATACATATTTTTAAAGAAAACTTTCTGTCGTGTCCATGCTTGAGCATTCAGCTAATTTAAAAGTGGTTTCTGTGAAAAGATAAGCATTTTCTTCTGAGTGGTAGAGAGAAACAGGATAAAAATAATCAAATTATTTCTTTTTGGGAAAAAATGGAAACAGCAGTCACCAAGGTCCTTTTTTTAGCCAGGCACATGGGCCTGACAAGGCATTAGTTAAGAGAATGTGTCAGCCTTAAATATGTGGGTTTATTTAACAATGGAACAAGTAGATATATAAAGAACAGAGCTCCAATACTGAGAATCCAGAAAGACCTATTTTTCTTTCTTTCTTTTTTTTTTTCCCAGGAATGAAGATTCTTTTTTTTCAATCTCTCTCTTTTTATAGAACAAAAAGAAGAAAAGGAAGCCGTCACAAAACAGGTGCATCGGTATTCAAGAAGGCAGATGCCAGATTCAGGGAAGAAATTCCCCATGTGTGTGCATTCCTCTGAGGGAGGGGGTTGGGGGAGGCAGGTTTAAACAGAGGCTAGGCCCCACTTCCATCTGAGCACTTGACTGAGGTCTGCTCTTAAAGAATGTGGCTGGCAATGTTGAGGGGGAGGAAGTTAAA